GATCTAATGTGCATAAGATCATCAGATTTTAGACTCATTTCTTCATAGATCCATTAGATTGTAATATCCTTGAAGGCAAGGAATGTCTTTTACCTCTTTTTGTGTACCTAGTGCTTAGTGCAGTGCCCAGTGATGAAATGGAGTTGGTTTGGTGTAGGAATCAAGAGAACCAATTAGATCCTATCTCATGAACACTGACCCCATCTTGTTTTGCCATGTGGATTCTCCTCCAGCTTGTTGCTTTTCAGCAAATCATCCATGGGAAACTCGATGGCAGGAAGTAGCTATTGTTTCATAAATGTAGGTGGATGTAATTAATCAGTATCTCTCAATTCTTGGGAAAAAAGACCCCCAAACCTACTCACTTCTCCTCCCTACTGACCCAAAACTTTCTCTCTCCACCTCCCAACTTGGAAAGCCCCTAATCTTTCTTCCAATTAGGAATCAGATCACCTAATTTTGTATCCTGGCTTGTTAATTTTTCTTTTTTAATTAATTGGTCCTATCAGATTAATTATTTTTTTATTATGTATGATAGTTCTTTGCTTATGACATCTTTATTTAATTCTTTTTTTAAGCATATTTTCATATTAGTCATGTGATAAAGAAGAATTAGAACCCATAGAAGAAACCACAAGAAAGAAGAAACAAAACAAAACAGAAGGAAAAAAAGAGCAAATAGTATGCTTCGATCTGCATTCAGATTTTACAATTCTTTCTCTGGATGTAGATAACATTTTCCATCATGAGTCTTTTGGAGACGTCTTAGATTCTTGCATTGTTGAGAAGAGCTAAGTCTATTAAAGTTAGTCATCGTACAATGTGGCTGTTACTGTGTACAATGTTCTCTTGGTCCTGCTCACTTCACTCAGCATCAGTTCATACAAGTCTTTCAAAGTTTTTCTGAAGTCTGCCTGCTCATCATTTCTAATAGCACAATGATATTCCATTATATTAATATACCAGAACTTATTCAGCCATTTCCCAATTGATGGGCATCCCCTCAATTTCCAATTCTTTGCCACCACAGAAAGAGCTGCTATAAATATTTTTTTACATGTGGGTCCTTTTCCCATTTTTATGATCTCTTTGGGATACAGCCCTAGAAATGCTATTGCTGGGTCCAAGGGTATGCACAGCTCCATTGCCCTTTGGGCATGGTTCCAAATTGCTCTCCAAAATTTTTGGATGAGTTCACAACTCCACCAACAATGTATTAGTGTTTCAATTTTCCCACATCTTCTCCAACATTTAGCATTTTCCTGTTTTGTCATCTTAGCCAATTGATAGATGTGAGGTACTACCTTAGAAGTGTTTTAATTTGCATTTCTCTAATTATTAGTGATTTAGAGCATTTTTTCATATGACTATTGATAGAATTCATTTCTTCCTCTGAAAACTGTCTATTAATGTATTTGGACCCTTTCTCATTTGGGGGAAGGTCCTTATTTTTATAAATTTGGATCAGTTACCTATATATGTGAGAAATTTTTTTCTGTAATTTTTTTCTTGTTTTCTATTTTTCTTCTCACTTTGGCCTCATTGGTTTGGTTTGTTCGAAAACTCTTTAAGTTTGCATACTATCTGAAGTTTTAAAGGGAAGTATAGTTAAGGACAGAGAGATCAGAATAGGCTTCCAGGAAGAGGTGTGAAATATGAGGGGAGCTCTAAAGCTTTGTAGGAAATTAAAAGGTGAAGGTGAGTAGGAGAGCTGGAAAAGAGGACTCTAGGCCTGAGGAATAGCAGGGGGAAAAGGCATGGAGAGAGGTGGGCAAATGGCATGATTTTTAGCAGAAAAATATCTCCATTTCTCTGGAATACAGAGTGTTTGGATAGTGGTAATCTGAGAAGGAAAGTGAGAATAGCATCATATTGGGGAAGGATTTGAATTTCAGGTAAAATTTGAACTTCACTCAGTAGGCAATAGGAAAGTGCTGAACATTTTTGAAGAAAAGAGTAACGTGATAAGGAAAGATTATTCTGGTTATAGTATGAAAAGATGTACTGGACAGAAACAAGATCATAGATCTAACACTGAAATGGACCTTCAAAGCCATCTTGTCCAACCCCTTAATTTTACTGATGAGGAAACAGAGAGGCTTAGAGAGGTTAACTGACTTGCCTAGGTTCGAATTAAGAAGAGCTAGGATCTGAATGAATGAAGGTCCTCTGATTCCAAAGGCAATGTTCTTTCCACTTTACCAAGCTATCTCCAGTGAAGGGAATGGAAGTGGGAAGACCCACTGGGAAGTAAGAAGACTTTCATTATGATAGTAATAAAAGCCTGAATTAGAATAAGATAATAAAAGTAGAGATGAGAGGATGGAAGTTATGGAATTGGGCAAATGTGTGAGTGCGGCTTGTAGAGTGCCAGGCCTGGAGTTAGGAAGACTCATCCTCCTGAGTTTAAATCTGGCCTTAGATATTTACTAGCTGTGTGACCCTGAGCAAGTCACTTAACCCTGTTTGCCTCAGTTTCCTCATCTGTAAAATGATCTGGAGAAGGAAATGTCAAACCACTCCAGTACCTTTGCCAAGAAAAACCCCAAATGGGGTTGGACATGATTGAACAACAACAAAAGTAAAAGACGGGGAGGGAAGTCCAAGATCATCTGAAGGTTTTGAACATAGGAGAGTGAGTGGATCATGGTGAGCCCTTTGTCCAATCTTTCACTGCACCTTTCAGTCCTTACCCCTGCAACCTCCCCCAGGACTACCTTGGAGACATTTTTTCTGGAAGTGATTTTCTGTCTTCAGTAAATTCAATCCATTTTTTGTAAAATTTAACAAGTTCCTACTATGTGTACTGTACTGGTCTTGGTATTAGTGGTTACAAAAACAAGAATAATAAGTAAAATTCATTTGTCCTGTGTTCTCTTAGAAGCCTCCTGCTACCACTGACTGCCAAGCACTGGTCTGGATCAGGACTCTTCACCTTAGTAACATGTCACCCCATCTGATCTCTCTAGAGAAAAAGCATACGGGTAGAGTGGAGTCATACATCTAATTTTTAATTCCATTTCATAATCCTTTTCCAAGCGATGCATATTCTTAACTTGTCAATCATTTTTTCCCATGGCAAATGTTTTCTCAGAAGCCAAGTACATTTTATTCGCTATTTGATTTCCTTTTTTCCTTCTTTCTTTCTTCCTTTTTTTTTTAAACATTCATTCAGTCATGTTATCCAAGATGTGATACAAACTGACAGGCACAATTTTCCCTTCATGCCTCTATGCTGACTGCCCTTTATTAAATTACTGTAATCTTGCCTAATACCGTATTTGCATTTTCATTACTTTTCCTACTGTCAGGTTAACAGACCTGTAGTTTTCTTTGCACTTTTCCTGTGAAACATCAGAATTCATTAGTCTCCTTCAGGAACTTTTCATCACAAACCTTATAAAAATGAAACAAATACATTTATAGGGAAATAGAAACTTTCTAGGGCTCTAGCTTAAAACCATATTTTTACATATGGTTTTGTATAAATTTGCTCTGAGACCAGAAGACCATAACTCCAAATAAATAAAAGAAATTAATTAGAGCAACCTATAGTAATTGCATTTAAGTTCTTCTTGACCGCTTTTTTCTCTCCCCTCTATCCTCAGCTTCCTTATTACCATATATACCCTAAGGGAAGGCTTAGCCATCCTGTGGAATCCAGATACAAGAGATCGGCCTAAACTCCGTAGTTTCCCAAAGTGGGTGATACTGTCCCCTGGGGGGTGCTGGAACGATATATGGGGGCAGTAGTAGTTTGAAATGACACAAATTTTTTTTAAAAGAGCCATTAAAGGTTTAAAGAAAGTAGATTTCCAAGGGATCACTGAGTAATTTTTTTCAAAGGGTACAGTAGGCCAAATAAGTTTGGGAACCTCTAGGAAATACATACTTCAGGTTCTTTGGGTACCATACTAAAAATCCCCTCTTTAGATGTTATAGTATCATAACATCAGTGATCATTATTAATCATTATAATTAGAAGGCTAGATAATTTATTTTAAGAAATTATGTTAGTGTGGAACAACTAGGTGGCACGATGGATAGAACACTGGCCCTGGAGTCAGGAGGACCTGAGCTCAAATCTGACCTCAGACACTTACTAGCTGTGTGACCCTGGGCAAGTCACTTAATCCTGATTGCCTCCAAGAAAAAGAAAGGAAAAGAAAAGAAATTACGTTTGTGGGGCAGTATAGGATAATAGATAGACAGCTAACTTTGGAGTTAGGAAGACTTTGGTTAAGAGCTATTCTGCCCTAAACAATGCTCTAAGATAATAAGTTTCAGGTGAGTTTCTAATCTGAATTGATGAAAAAAGTCTGTGAACAAAACAAATTAAATTAGAACTAATTTTCATCCATTATCTATATTTGGGCTTCAGTTTGACCTTGTTGGTGCTTTCCCACCCTTTCTTTACTAATGCACAATGTTGATTAGTACCTGTCCTCAAAGGAACCAGAGCCAAGCTTCCTGGCTAGGCCAACCACTTAGAGATGTACCAGAGACAAAACACATGAATTGCAGCACAACCAACCTTCAATATTGAGCACATTGCCTTGGAGTTACAGCCCCCAAATCTTGGAGTCTATAAGTCTTTTGTTTTCCAGGTGAAGAAACTGAGGCCCAGAGAAGTTGCAACAAGCAAAAGTCACACAGCTAATTAGAAGCAGAGCTAAATCTGTAACCAGGGGTTCTTGACTCCTAATCTAGGGCTCTAGCCAGTGGCTCACCTTCCTTCTCTTCTTATCTCTATATGTGATGCTTTGGGCACCATGTTCCAAGTTAAGCCAACAAGATAATTTGTTTAATTCGTTACACTGTCTAGCAGAACAACAATGACAATTTACTTCTGTTTTCCAGTGGAGGCAACTTAATTATCAACCAATATCATAGCTTCGTCTTCACCAGTCTAGTTTTAGTGCACCATTTTCTCTTAAGTAAAAAACACTATAAAATCATCTCGTGTTGTCCTAATTGGGGTGACTTATTTATCTCTGCAGGGTCCTGAGGATTTACTATGTAACCAAAAAGTGGGTGTACCCTATATTTGCTCAACTCACTCCAGAAAGCTCAGCAGCCTTCTTCTCTGTCATCTGTGTTTTCCTTGCCTACATCTACCTCCTTGGAGAGCACTTTAACCAGCTGATTTGGGGTAAGTAATATCTCTTGCATCTATGGAACTGCAACATGAAACATCCTTTTGTCCCCCTTTTCCCATCCCCAGTTATAACATATGGGAAAATTACAGCAATCCATTAGACCCAGAAAGACCATAGAATTAGAGTGGGAAGGGGCTTTAGAAAATGCTAAGTCCAATACTCACTTTACAGATAAGAAAACTGAGATCCAGAGAAGTTAAGCCCAAGATCACATGATGATTAAATGGCAGAAGCAGGATATATAGCATTTCCTCTCATTCCAAATCTGGCATTTTTTCTCATCTATGAGCCCAGTGTTTCTTAATGTACTTGTTCAGAGGTCTCAGCTCAGGAGAAATTATGGTTCATGACAACAATGGAAAGGTGAAGGAACTGGGAGTGAGGTGATGGGGGAAGAGGACTCTTGCAAATTCCTAGACGCTACAATCTCAATCCCACTCCTCCATGCTGCAGGAGTCCCCCTCAGCTTCAAGTATTAGTTTTGTTTAGTGAAAAGCCAAGTTATAGAAAGAGATGTGCTTTCTACCCCAGCTGAGAACATGGGATCAGGATTTCCCTGTTCAAAGTAAGACTCTCTTCTGCGCAGATTCCTTCTCACACAATATAAACATGTGTCTTCTCTATTTGCCTGATGGCCACACTAGCTGACTCAGCCACTGGAAGGGTTTGCTTATCAGTGCCAGCACTCCCACCTCTCATATCACTTGAATCTAGAAGGAAGCTGTGGAGCCACAAACCCACTGGTTCCCTGCCCACACCCTACCCAACCCTAAAACTGTAGGGTTCGCCCCCCCCCCCCGTTCTAGGCACCTCCATGCCTCTTCAACTGACAAGGTTCCCTAAATTCATAGATGGGCCTACTGGAGATGACAAAAGCCCTGCTCCTATTCCCTAAAAATAGGACATATATACTTTTCAAACATGTAAAAGCATTTTCTTTTTATTTAAAACTATTAAACATCATAAGGAGATATAATAGGATGGTTATAATAGTAATCCAAGGGGAACTATACAATACTAGAGGTCTTTTCAGGGAAACTGGTTTTCCAGGAATACCTAGATCTTACTTCCTTAGCTCTTCCTTTCTGTGTCTTGATGACCCTCTAATTTAGATAGATTTCATTCTCAAAATCAGCCTAACTGCTGCTTGAGCTAGAGGTTTTCTATGTTTTGGGTTTCCACGCAATGGATTCCAACTGGTAAAGAAGCAGGTGTTTCAGTCATACTGTTAATCCACTTCTCCAGTTCTTCACTTTGAATGTGGAAATGTCCCTAATACTCCCTTTCTATGGTACTCTCCAAAAGAGCTTTTCTTCACTTTTTGTCTCTTAACTCCCTTGAGAGAAAAGCCTTTTTTCCCCCCTCTCTATTTTCCCTAAGTATTCTTTCCTTGGGTTTCAGGACACAAGAAATTTATTGTCATTTTCCTTATCCCCTTTGGAGATGTGGAGACTCTGACCTATTAGTAGATCCCTTTTCTCTCTCCTGGATGATTTGAAACCATTTACAGTGTCTGAGCCCTGCCCTTTGTTTTCAACTTGGTTTCTCTTTTTAAATTTTGGTCCTAGGTTGGCATTTGGACTCCTCCTCCCTGTAGTCTTTGTACTTTGTTTTGTTTTGTTTTGGTCACATTATAGAGCATTTGTTTAATTTTAAATTAAATTTTTTTCAATACACAAAAATTGGTTTTCCCTCCCTCCTAACCAATACCCACAGTGCCATTATTGGGTAAAAAAAGAAGAAAAAAGAAAACCCTTATAACAATTGTAAAGAGTCAAAAAAATTTTTTTAAAATTATGTCTCATTCAATACCCTGAGTCCATCATATCTCTTTCAGGAGGGCAGCAGACTTCTCATTTGTCATCTGAAATTATGATTGGTGCTTGCATTATTCATAGTTCTTCTGGCAACCATGAGGTCTTGGGCTCTACTTCATGACAACTTTTGTCTGGTCCCCTAGCCAGATCGAGCCTCTCTTCTTGTTCAAGATGGATGCTATATCAGGTTCTTTCTTGGCTTCACTAGTTTGGCCTTTCCTTTTGCTTCATCCCACTCTGAGCCTCAGGCTGTTGCCATGGCTCTTGTCCCTCCATTGAGGGATTGTTTTCTACAATCCAGGTTCTATAGTAAGAAAAAATAATGTGACACTGAGTACATAACTCCAGACATATTCCTATGTATCCCTTATTCCTCATTAAAGACAGAATCTAGTACCCCAGGAGGATGACTTGATCTCTATGCTTATGTTACATTGACTTTTGATTTTTTTTGATATGTTGTTTTTTCTACTTATGTTGTTGTAGTTACTATATGTATTGTTTTCTTGACACTGCTTACTTCACTTTGTATCAGTTCATGCAGATTTTTCCTGCTTTCCTGTATTATCACACACAGGAATATTCCATCACATTCATATACCACAATTTATTTAGCCATTCCCCAATCGAAGGGCATCTACTTTGTGTTTGTGTGTGTGTGTACATACAGATATATACACATACATATACACAGTGTATACATATATACATATGTGTGTGTGTGTGTGTATATATATATATACATATATATATACATACATACATATATATGTATATATATATATACATATATATATACATACATACACATATATATATATATACATATATATATATATATACATATATATATATATATATATATATATATATATATATATATATATAATTGTTTACCTGTCTTGGATGCCATTATCAGAGAAATTTGATACAAAGATTCTTTTTCCATTTCTAAGACTTCTCTTCTTATTCTAGTTATGTTAATTTTGTCTAAGCAGAAGATTTTCAGTTTCAAGTATTCAAAGTTATCTATTTTATCTTCTGTAATTGCCTCCATCTCTAGTGTGGTTAAGAATTCATCTCCCAGCAGGCGAGAGGTATATGATCTGTTTCTCTTCAAAAATTTTTAATAATGTGATCTTTAATTTTATATTAAGGTCATATATCCATTTAGATTGTATTGTGGAATATTGGTGTAAAGTGTTTGTCTAAGCCTAATTTCTACCATATTACTCAGTTTTCCCAGAAGTTTTCATCAGATAAAGAGGTTTTTTTCCTAGATAATTTATATTTTCCATTTTATTAAACACTGGGCTATTAAGTTTCTAATTCTATTCTATTCTAAGGTCCTCCTGTTTCAGATTATCCCTTGTTTAGGTTTTGATGACTGCTGCTTTATAATGTACTTTGAGATCTAGAAGGCTACTCCCCTTTTGTCCTTACTTCTTTTTGTTATTTCCCTTGACATTCTATATATTTTGATTTCCTGAATGAATTTTGTTGTTATTATATCAAGTTCTATAAAGAATCCCTCTGATAATTTGGTATAGCATTAAAAGAGCAAATTAATTTTGTGATATTGTCATATTCATTATGTTGGCACAACCTCACCATGAGGACTGAATATTCTTTCAGCTATTTAGATTGTTCTTTATTTAAGGAGTGCTTTGTAATTGAATACACAGAAGTCTTTTGTGTGTTTTGGTAGGTTGATCCCCAGATGTTTTATGTATTTTTTAGTTATTTGGAATGGAAGTTCCCTTCTAGCATTGCTGCTTGTGTTTTGTGATTATCATATAGAAATTATATTGATTTGAGGGGATTTATTTTGTAGTTTGCAAATTTGCTGAAGCTGTTAATTGTCTCAGTTAGCATCTTTGCTGATTCCCTTTTCATGTATATTATCATATCATCAACAAAGAGGTATAATTTTATCTCCTACTTACCTATTTTTATGCTTTTAATTTCATTCTCTTATCTTATTGCTATTGTTAGCATTTTAGGAATTATACCAAATAATTGTGAAGAGAGTGGGCATCTTGCTTCATTCATGTATTTATTGGGAAGGGTTCTAATGTATTCTTATTATACTTGATGCTTACTTTTGGTTTTAGACAGATTTTTTAAAAACTCTATGCCTATACTTTGTAGGGCTTTTAGCATAAAAGAGAATGGTATTTTGTCAAAAGTTTTTCTATATATAGAGATGATTATGTCATTTGGGATGGTTTGCTTTTTAATATGATTAATTATTCTGGTTGTTTTCCTAATTTTGAACCATTTTTGTATTCCAGTCTAAGAGATTGAGACCCCTCAAAGACTGGAGTACAAGACAGGGTCATCTGGAATGAATTCAGACTCAAGCATTCTTTAAGTCAAGGTGGCATAAAGTTTATTGTTAGGCTTTTCAGTGGGCAGGGATTCTTAAGGAACCTGCAGTCTTAGAGTGGTACAGTTAAAGTTTATATGGGATAAAAATATAATAAAACATGTGTCCAATATGCTAACCAGGTGATTCAGGGTTGGATTAGGGAATGGTTAAGGAGTGGTCAGTTCTTAAAGGAACATGCACTTCTTGTACCTACTGTGCAGGCGTTTTACCCAGAGTTCACTAGGAAAAGTCCACAAGGGGGGCCAGATGGAGGTGTGGTTTTAGACTTGCTATGTCACTAAGTTAACTAGAGTTCAGGGGTAACTGAGAGTTGTCCGGTCTGCCACCAGTCAATGTCTTGTTTGACAAGATAGATGTAGGGAGAATACAGATAATGAGGAGTCCAGGATGTAGATAATGAGGTAGGGCTGTAGTATAGATAGTCCAGTGGGTAAGAATATCTTTATGACCCAGTGCAAAGCCAGTTCAAACTGATTATTCCTTCAGATGCTGTTTGTAACTACACCAGGAAAAGAGATAAGGGTTTTGCTGGGGCCTACTCATGAATAATTGCTATGCCCAGTGTCCTTGAGCTGGGGAGAAATTGTCAGAGACAGTGTTTCTGAGGCTAGGGAGAAATTGGAGTCCAAGTACAAGCACCCAAACACAAGCACCCAAGCACCCCATCACTTGTATCCCTGGTATAAATCTCACTTGCTCAAAATGAATGATTTCTTAGATAAATTGCTGTAATTTGTTTGACAGGATTTTGTTCAAAATTTTTGAGTCAAGGTTCATGAATGAT